GTGTTCTCGGCCTTCTACCAGATCGCGGGGAGGGCCGAGGGGAAGGCCGAGGGGAGGGCGGAGGTCAGTGTCGTCGGACTCGTGAAGAACCCTTAGACTCCGGAGCTGGAATGCCTCTTTGGCTTCGAGGACGGCACCAGCGGCCAGGTCAAGGTCGACATTCGGCTCAAAATCGATCTCCCCCCCCCGGGACTTCACCACTTGCTTCGTCACCTGTCCCATCGACAATAACCTGGAAAAGATCCCTCGGTGGGTCTCGATAATCAAGCCAAACTCCACCATAGGCAATAGCCTTGAAGTCTGGAGGAACTCTCTCCAGAGAGAACCACAACAGTCGATGTGTCTGTGGGTCTGTAATCATCAAAGGATTTGATGATTACGAGATTTTCCTGGAGTTTTTGGAATTTTATCGACTGATGGGTGTGAGCGAGTTTCGCTTTAACGTTTATTCAGTGGGACGCAGGATGGACTGTCTTCTGCAATCGTACCAGGAAGAAGGCATCGCCACGGTCGTGCAGTGGAACACGCCTTACAAGGAGTCCGAGACGTTTTCAGGCGCTCCGGTCGCGGCATCGAACAACTGTGTCTATTCCTTCACGGGAGTGCATAAGTACGGGATCATCGTCGACGTAGACGAATTCCTCGTGCCGAGGGTCCATAAAAGCCTTCGGGACCTGATGGAGGACGAGACGAAGATGCACCCCGAGGCCGGTGCCATGATGTTCCACAATACCTTTTTCTACCGGATGCAGAACGATTCTTCGAAGGCCCTTTCGCACGACCCGTTTGTTCTTCGCATGACGACAAGGGCCAAGGAAATACTCGGTTGCATTGCTCGCGCGAAATACATTTTCGTGCCAGAACGAATCTTCGTGAGCGACATTCATCCCGTCCGCGAATTCGTCCAGAATTTCTCGCTCGTGGAGGTCGATCACGAAGTCGGCCTCCTTCACCATTACTGCGGGCCGTGCGTCGTCGAGAATTGCCTCAATCTTCCCAGCGTGAAGGATAAGAGCATCCTCCGCTTCCGGGAGGCGTACCTCCCCAGATTCCGGGAGGCTAAGAAGAAACGTTTCCATCCGTGCCTGATCGAGAATTGAATGATGGGACGACGGACTGAGGAATGTGTCATGCTTTTTGGTATTTCCCTATTTCCTTGCTCGCCTTGCTTGGACCGCTTCGAAAGAAACTACTCAGGGACAGTTAAATACTCAGGGATAGCATTTAGATAGCATGTCATCAACGATTCCAGAACCGCATCACGGAAAAATATATTAAAAGCCCTCACCCTTTCTTTCATGGTGATCGCGCTCTCCCCTAAGGTGGCTGTCCGGTGACAGAGCATGCACACCCTTACGCGTGCGGGATCAAGCCTTTATTATTTGTTGGGTATATTTCATTCGGAACCCCCTGGGGAATGGCGTTGATATATGGGTGAGCGAAAATCGATGGCCACTAAAATGCTCTGAATTTGGAACGGTTAGATATTGTTTCATCAGATGTCGTGAGCTGAGTTGCCAATTTACATTTTAAAAATTAAATATCATCCTCCTTATCATCGTGATCATGCAGGAGGCATTCGACGAAGGAGACCTCGGCCTACTAGTCGGTGGCGTCGTGCGTGCACGAATCGCGTTGTGTGTGCACCGCTCGACTCCTCCCGCCGCGACCTCGACGGCGTGCGACCGGAATGACCTTTTCGAACTTGATTGACCTTTAAGGAAGATATAATCATGAAATGTGTGCAGCATTTTAATTCATCGTCGCCGGGGCGAACATACAAGGAAAATCATTCATTCCTCGCCGATTTTTTGGTAATCAATACAATCATCAATCAGCTCTGCCCATATTGGCGAAGGCAAACCAAAAACAGTTGAAAATCGTAGCGCATTGTCTGATAATGTCCACAAAACCTTGATCTGATCGCTCAAAAAAAATTAGTTTCGTTAATCCAGGCGAAACATTTCTATTTGTCGCCAAAATCCTTTCCTTTCGGATTCTTTCGTTCTTCCTCATTGAAACATCATGCCTTAGCTCAGTGAATAATTCAATACATACTTCTTGTGAATGGCAAAAGGGATTTTTAAGATCACGAACTTCGAAAATTGTCCCTCCATGTGACGCATGTCATGGAAATTGTGCAGCATACGTAATAAGAGGTTGTGGACTTCTTGTGTACCTTGCGGAAATGCATTTAAATGGCGGTGAAAGTCTAAGGTTCGTGTCTTCCAATGGAAAACCCGTTCTTCGTGTCCATATCATTACATTATCCGCACTTTCAAACACTCACCGCCACTACTTGGAATTTCATCGCACAGGAAATGCGCAATGCCAAGGGGGAAACAAACGATAAAAAATGAAGTTGCCTAAGCCCGATCAAACAGCTCCATTCCCAGTGCATATAACGTCAGGCTGAAATTCACATAAATTCGGATATTTTTAACATTACACTTCTGGAAAAATGTGGAGCGTTCGGATGAGATCTTATCCCTTCAATTTCGCAGTTGAATATATTCGATCAATGAAATGTTTGACCCAAAATATGAATTCAAAAGTGCATATTCACTCCCTCAAAAATACAAGGTCATGCCAACGTGCTATGACTGATATAATGACTGTGCTTCTTCATGGCCGTCAAGAAGACGAAGTGTCTTGCCATGATGGAGATGGAGCTCGACCGCGAAGGGAATAGTAACCAGCTCAAAGGGAAAACCTGTTCAGAAAAAAAAACACATGAGAGCATTCTTATGTGCGTGAATGTTAAACCTAACAGAGCGGAAATAATGTACTGGGTTGCGTGGAACGTCTTATGGACAGATGGGGATATCGCAATAATCCCTTCCTTTCCCATCGCTCTTGAAACACCAAGGACCGTCTTCGTCTCCCATGAAGTTCCGACAGAAATTGTGTTTTGCGTGCATGTCGTCCCGTACCAAATCAACTGTTTGAAATACTTCGTCAATAATACTAAAAGAATCGTCGTAATATATATTATAAGTCTCTCCTCCGGGACCTTGTTGCCACAGTGGTTTGCTCAACCACGGGAGGCATTTATGCCCATTGCGGGTCACATTCTTCGTTCCAATATATGTCATCCCCTTCACGTCCATCTTGCATTCCAGTGGGCCTGGAATGCAATACAAGAGTTCAAAGAGTTCGTAGAGTGAGGTGGGGTAAAGGAGTTAGTTCATAGACTGGTTGAAGAGTAGTCTATCATGCAAGTCGAACAAACGGTCGTTGGATTCACTGGAGAACTACGTGTTTTGTTTCAGTGTGACGTCAACTTTTACAATTATATAGTCGGTATGCTAAGATTGAGTATTGTTTCCATGAATAGGTATTTCAATGACTATATGTGAATTTTCCACTATTTCTATATTTGGTTCTAGTTCGTGCACATTCACGGAATTAGTTTGAGCACGACACCAACTTCTGGAGAATCGGCGGGATGACAGGGGACTTCAGGTGTTATACACGGTCCCAATTTTAGTGAGGGAAGTGAGTGAACTCGTGAATTCCAGACTATATCACGCACTTTGCGTTAGCCAATGGTGTCAAACAGAAGCTGTGGGCCGGATGGAACCTTTCAGTTTGGTTTGTTGCGTGTGAGATTTGAGCGAGTAAATCTCATATCAAAGCTTCCATTGCTAACAGGTTTAATATATCCGCTTTTCGAAATCCATTTGTGGAAGAGATCTTCATGAGTCGGACAAAATCAACTAGCACCCTTCACTAGCACCCCGAGACCCTTCGTCTGGACTGAGGCAATGTTTATGGAAGTCTTCCACGTGTCGGCTAGTACACATATAAACGCAAAATAAGTGTGTACTTGTTTTCATATGTTTCCACTCCCCTGTAGGTCTCGCAGTTTTGTCTATATACTAGTAGTTCAATATGTGGAATGGGAAAAATGCGTTGGGTTACACATGACCAGAAGAAGCGGGAATATAAAACTTTCGTTACTCACTGACACAATGGCCTCCGACTCGAACAAGGCATTTTTCACTGTCAATGGCTGGACAGAATGGAACGTCGCAATACCCCCAATGATACTCTTCGAAGCTGGTGTAGCAATAAGGACCGTAACCCCCTCCTTCGGGGTTGCGGCAATACGAATGCCTTCCATCTACTTTATCTGGAATCTTGAGGATCGTGAAACCTTTAAAAAAACCTTTTAAAAAAAATGTGATCATGAGCCAAGGTAGGCAGGGGACCCCGTATATCGTCACGCTTCTCTTTCCAACATACTCCGCTCCTCGCTCTGTGATTTTGCATTCAGGTGGATCTAGGAAACGAATATCATGAGTCAAAATATTTCGAGGTAAATCAGAGACGACTCTGCATTATTGGCAATGTCGGTGAAATTCAGGAAGTGAGACTGTGGCAGCATTCTTTTTCTAATTCCCATTTAGATGTCTCAGTTAATCTCGATTTGTTCATTTCATGACTTGACCTGTGCGTCACGAATTTTGGAGCGACGACAATATTCTGGTCTTCTCATCAGATTAGGGATAGAGTCATCAATATCTAACTTGAGCGGTTGCTCAATGCTTCTCCGTTTCCGACAGTCGAGGTCACAGAAGGATTCGACAACTTCAAGCTGTCGTCCTTGAACAGCAGTGTCCTCTTGAATCTCTCAATTCGATATTCATCAGAAAATGTATTCTTGAATTTAGCGTCTCTCCCCTCTACATCAACGTTAATTAATGCCAATCTATTACTCTTTGTGCTTATATCCGTACGAATAATACTGAAAGAATTATGTCCTGGTACTCGGAAGGGGGTTTGAATGAAAGTCTTTGCATCTTTTTTCCAACACACCTATTCCCACACAAATGCTGATCATATGCATTTCAGTCAAATATTTCCTCCCAATTTACCGGTATGGGAACGTTCTTCCTCCAATATGGTTTTCTCCATTTTCTCTTATAAAAACTAAACCGCACTCATAATCTCAGAAACGTTAGTGTGCTGTTTTCGTAAAGAGGGACCAGAATGAACTAACTGAGGTCTTGGCAGAAGGGGATGTCGCAGTACTCCCACTGTATGTCACTGTCGGAGACGAAGCACCATGGTCGCTCCCTGTCCACACCTGGATTTCGGCAGTGGTTGTGGCTGTTGATTGTTTCATCCCACCCGAAGGTTTCCATGAAATATATTTCGTATCGAAAACCTTTGGGGTAAAAATCCATAGGGATTTTGTATGGTCGAGGATACCATGGTAGACAAGCCGTGCCAGTTTCTGTCTTGTTCTGGCTCCCCACGTATTCCCTTCCCTTTTCTGACAGTCGGCATTCTGGATATACTCCAGTCCCGGCTTTAGGTATTTCATCTCCCACGTCGCAGAACGGGATGTCGCAGAAAGCCCACGTGGTTTCAACCGGATATTTCCCCCTAGAATCCAGGTAGCACCAAGGAGCTTCGTTTGGATTGAGGTTATAAATGATGGATCCATGTTCCACATTTGGGTTTCTGCAGAAGTTGTGATCTTCGTCAACGCGATCGGGATCAGGGAAAGCCAGGAGGAGATTTTTAATATCTTCTTGGTTTTTCCAAGGCAGGCAGGGCCATCCTTGGATTGTCACGTTCTTCGTGCCCACGTATTCCCCTCCCCATCGAGTCACTTTGCACTCCGGTGCGACTGGTGGCAAGAAAGAAATCCCGTTTCATTTGGCATCTGTCCCAAAGAAACTTATTGACTTGGCATCAAATATCCGAAAAGAATTTGTGATTGACACGGTCACTCGTTGACATTGGCTGTATGTAGCGTTCCTTCGGCCTATGTTGGAAGAGGTGTGACGAAAACGAGAAACTGCCCTCAGTATCCATCATTCATCTACTTTGTTTTAATAACCTTTTTTGGCAGCGGTTGTAGCAGGAATCGCAACACCATCCATTACTTCCGAACCGCCATCGCCGCAATTTCCATTCGACAAATGGAGGAAACAGTCGCATGATTCTATGTCTCCTTGGTCGGAGGAAACCTGTTATTATTTAAAAAAATTGAGATTAATTTTTGCAAAAATTGGATCTGAACCATGTCCTCCTCTCTCATCAGTTGCTCATTGGGAACGACATGCCAACTGCTTTAATACAGGGTGGGTCAAAAATAAAACTTTGATAATCTTCATCACTCCAAAGCACTGTTCCCCGATTATTTTCTAAAGTTGCAATATTGTCTCAGTGAAGAACATTCGTTCAGCTTTCCAACGATGAGAACAGAAGGAAGATTCGTTGCATCATTTCCATATAATGAAACAAAGAGTATAGGAGATTACGCTGGAAATGCGAGCAACTCCTCGGCCAAATTGCGAATGTGCGAAGGAATTGGCGTCACCTACAGTAGAACATACAGTATATATTGCACAGTAGCAGTGAGTGCACTTTCAGATGCTACCTTTGTTTCTCTATGTTTTACTGCCTGGAAAAGTCTGAATTGGTCTTAAATCGTTTGAAAGCAGTCGCACGTTAGATAAACGTTCCATACAGACACGATTGTGCAATATTTTCAAGTTCTCGAGAAACTACGCTAAGAAGCGTTAATTATATTCGAATATTTTGAATATGTATTTGCTCTGTCCCCTCCTGCCCATGAAATTGCGTAAAAGGAAACTTCACCTGCGTCAGTGCAAAAAGGGATGTTGCAGTATTCCCACTTGATATCAGGGTCGGAAACGAAGCACCAGGGTCTCTCCCTCCCGGATGGATTCCGGCAGTAGTTGCGGTGAGACACGGAGTCTCGATTAAGGAAGTGGCTCTCGTATAATAAGTCATATGACGGTATTCCTGGTTCCAGATCAGAAATCCATTCGCCAGGAATATATTCGTTAATTATTAATGGGATATTCGAGAAGTCATCCGGTCTTCCATAGGGATAATCTCTCCAGAAGAGGCACTTCTTGCCCGATTCCGTCACGCTCATTCCTCCAACGTATTCCTTGCCCTTTTCTGTCAAACGACATTCTGGATACAAATGCACTTCCTCACCTGCCAGTAACAAAATCCAGCGATCGAGTGACGATGAGCCACAAAGAGTTGAGGAGATATTGTAAGTGCGAGTTAAAAGAGAAAATGTTATATTATCATCAATCTCCTCCCCACAACGTATCGATTGGAAATATTGTGCATCCAAGTTGCACGATCAGCTTCTGCCAAATTTCAAATTTGGTGCTCATCTTCAATTTTATTCCTAGAAGATTTGTCACATATTTGCAACATAATGGTACATTAACAAATTTTGATGCTCGAATCGAAGCCAAAGTTGGTTCTTCATTGAAAACTTGTTTTCAATTTTTTTTTGTGGAAAGAAGTTAGCAAGAGCTGAAACCGATTCCTAGAACAACCAGGATCCCAAAGCAATGCCAAGGCAGCACATTAATGCTCCGACCTAAGACATTCTCTTCATCTTTCGGACTAGGAAATATTAATCATATGCCCTAGTTCCACATAACATTGAAGCGACATTGACTCACTATTCAATATGAAAGGTGAATTAATATTGTTTCAATATTATGTGCTACTATGGGGCTGTGGAGAATACTCAAAGGTAGGACTAGACAATGTTTGGCATAGAAACGCTTTTCTAATAGTTCTAGAACTACCTCGCTTTTCTTATTGGTCTTATTAGCTTATACTTTCATATGGTTCTGGCAATACTTGTTCCTATTCACCCGCATCCAAAATTAAAGAATGCAAGAAAAACCTTGTCCTAAAGAAAAGAAAGTGTAATCGATTTTCATTCGACTGCTAGGAGGATATCATGAAAGAGATGAGATGAGATTTGTATAAAAATAAATAGTTCTCATGAAGAAATAGTTTGCCATGCCCTCACATTGCACCGCACTCTTCCGGAAGGAGAATTGCCAAGAATCTGGCATGAAGGAAGCGCATTGAACAGTGTGGAGATGAGCTCCATCCGAGAACCCATTCGGATGTTCACAACGTAAAATGACGTTCACTCCTGCTGGTGCTGGATATTCTCCGCTCCATTTCTCGAAGGACACCTTCGCGTTCTCGATCATGGGATACTCTCTCACACATAAATCTATCAATTTCGACGAGTGTCATATTCGTGCCTTCAAACCGGTCGAGATGAAAGTAGAAGCATTCGACTTACTCTGGACGTAGGACAGGTATCCATTGGCTTCAACAAGCTTGCTCTTCCCGTTGAGAATCAACTGGCACGAACCATCTGTCTCCCGATAGTTGAAGGCGGAGCAGGCACTCGGTTCCTGCAGCACACAATTTACGGTGCAAGATCCGAGACTGAGCTCCTGAGATTCTGACGTCACATTCTCGTATCTTTGCCCAGGATGCACGCGGAAATAGGGGATCAAATCGACGGAGGCGACGTCCCGTGACAAGTATATGAACACGAGGATGATCTTGAGTATCTCTGCCGAGGATCTACGAGATTCCATCCTTGCGGCTGGGTCCTCGGGAAGGCCAGGGATGACTGGGATAAGAGGCGTGTGGGTACGGTATTGAAGTTTTCCCTCACTGCATCGACGTCAACAGCGACCTTCAGGCCGAGAAACATGGTTTTTTTTTTCTTTACTTAACAAAAAACTTCCTTTAGGCTCTCTTCAACTACCTACTGAAAGGGAGAGTTAGTTACAACGAACTTACGTTGCGTCAAGGACCTGTGCCGAGACTAAATTAAAGCATGATGCGGACCTACGTCTTGTCGAACATCCTGCGTCTCATTTAGTAGGTGTGCATAGCCCCACGAAACGGGACATGCCATTTCATGCCTTGGGTCGAACGGCTATGCACTGAGTCTAACATGGTTGCGCTCTGTGACTGGAATGCAGAATTTCTCCTTTTCAAGCCGTAATCTGTACTGCCAGTCTCATCCTCCCTAGTGACTTATTTTTGCCGGATCTGTTGGCACATTCTGCAACCCTTTTTTGTTTTCGTAAGAGAAAAGCAAACACACGACGAATCAAAGGATTTATTTTTCTGGAATGTGAATGTTGTTTCAGTGTAGTAGTAGCAGTGAAAAAGAATATGTTTTGTGTAAACCCTGCCAAGATGCCAGAATCAACATGGACCTGATAGCATCTTCTGCGAAAGTATTTATATCTTCAGGCAAGTCCATATGTTACCTTTACAAAGCGCCCACTCATGTCATGATTTGTGCTTTCGTTGGCCAAAAAAATTCGCCCCAGAATCCTTCCGGTTCGGTTTTTCAGCTTTGAAAATTTAGAATCCGTCCCCAACCAACGGTTGCAAAACCTACCTCTCTCCCGGCAGTGTTTGACTTTGTGATCGCATTCACCCGTTCGTGATCGCACTTACCTTGTCGTCGAGGTTGGAGTGATTACGAAAACGGAGTAGCCGTGGGCAAAAGTACTTCATTTTATGTGCCAAGATTAGTTTAGCTGTATTAGATTAGCTATTCATTGAAAAATGAAACGCTGGTATTTCTTTTATCTCACTGATCGCGATTGACCTCATGTAATATAAAAAACATTTATCACCGCATGTTTAAAATAATAGAAAAGGAAAACGTCACGATTGTGATGGCGTGTGACTTGTTCTGAAATTTATTTTAAAAATTGATGATTACGAGAATCCATCATTTCAGAAATATGTTCATTTCATAGTTCCAAGGAAGGGTGCAATTGCGGGAAGGGTGAAATTGGTGCATTGGTTCTAATATTGTAGTTAATATACTGCATATACAGTATATAATGTACAAGCATTGGTCGCTCTATGTTTACAATGCTAGAATCTGCAAACGTCACACTTGTGTGATGCTTGCACATGTAACCCATCTACAAGCATCACACTTGTGTGATGCTTGCAGATGGGTTACATGTAGCGTGTTCTGAAAATTTACTTGCAAACGAAAGGTCTGAAAAATTCTCACTTTAAATCATCACTCAAATGTCAATAATTCACATCTGTCCCTTTTTGGCTGATTTGAGATCGGCACTCAGCATAGGAGAATCCATCTAATATACTAACGAGTTTGTTTGCCCTTCGGGCAAACAAACTCGCTATGGTCGCGCCTTCTGCGCCCCATTACCTTGGATAGCGATTAATTCATTTATTCTTTGCGAAATGGCAAACACGTATTTAAAGTACGTCCCATTGGAATTCGTGACCTATGGGGACGAAATTCTTCATTTTTATCAAAATCATTACTTCTATTATTCCTAGTGTGCCTAACGTGAAANATGCAGCATCCCGGTAGGCAATTATGTACCAAGTTTCATCTTTCCACACTAGCTCAATACATCCAGGACAAAAAAAAATACTTGAAAAAATGGGCCCCCAAAAATATGCCCCCAGGTCATGGATCTAAAATGTTGCATTTCTCCTGAACTCATCGTGTCGGTAGGCACGTCCATGCCACGTTTCAGCTTTCCATGTCTCTCTGTTTTATTCAAGTAACTGGACATGGAAGGCAAGAGAAGCCAAAAAAACGGCATAGAATGTCCGGGAATTGAACCACGGCCTCATAATAACCGGTCTGATGCGCTACCACTACACCACCGAATAGACGACATACATTATCATCATTCGATGACATCCTTATCCATCACAATATACATTTAAAAATACTTCTCCCCCCAAAATGTGTAGCCCTAGGGCATGTACCTCCGAAGTCGGATTTTTTCTGAACTTTGCACCCCAAAAGGTACATGTGTACCAAATTTCAGATTTCTAACCTTTCTGGAACATTGTTAGAATTAGCGTCTGTCAGTCAGTCAGTCACGATCGTCTATATATATTAGATGTGGTGATTTCTGGGAGCAACTGCTTCTATGTCCTCTTGAAGGTCAATGAGAAAAATAATGGAGATCAGGGGCCTGTTCCTCGCCTCTGCTAAATCTAAATCTAAATCTAAATCTAAATAGACCTGAATGCCTTGTAAAAAGTGGTCACAGAGGTCCGTTTCTCGCTTTTGCTAAACTTGATCTAAATCTAAAAGCAGTCTAAAGGCAAAAGATTATGCTCCTCGCCCCGGCTAACATTGAGACTGAAGCTGAAACTTTGCCTGAAAGGTGGAATACTTTTATTCTGCTCTGAACCTGTCTAAAGTGCCGACTAATACGTGAAGGCGAAAGGAAAGTATTGGATTGGAAAGAAATTCTTGCAACACTCTGCGCAAATTTTTCAAAATTTTCTAACTTCATTGAAATGCAATTTCAGTCTACAATGTAATGACCATTGTTGTCTATGACATGTTCCCAACGCACGCGTAACTGTTCGATGCCCTTTGCCCAGAACTCTGGCGATTACGAAACGAAGAAACGGCCGACATCATTTTCGAGCCGTGCTCGATCGTCGAAGGCCTTGTCCCGCAGGTGATTCTCGAGGGTCCGGAACAAGTGATAGTCGGAAGGGGCCAAGTCCGGAGAATACGCTGGATGGGGTAAAACTTCCCAGCCCAGTTCTGAAATCGTCTGGCGAGTCATCTTCGCAAGATGTGGACGAGCGTTGTCATGCAGAAGGAGAACTTTGTCGCGTCTGGGACGCTCTTTATGAATGACGCCAGCCAACTTCTGAAGTTGAGCAGCGTAGACGACGACAGTCACGGTGGTACCGGTTGGCAGGAGCTCATAGTACAACATTCCTTCTGAATCCCACCAACAGCGGAGAAGAACCTTCTTCTCGTGGAACCCTGGTTTCGGTTCGTGTGGCGGCAATTTTCCTCGTGGAAGCCACTGACTCTGGCGAGTATGGTCGACGTAGAGGACCCAGCTCTCATCTCCAGTAACGATTTCCTTCAGAAGGTCCTTTCTGTCCGGACGAAGGAGCAGTGATTCTCAGACACTGACACGGCTTGCTTTGTCAGAGTCGCTGAGCCGCTGAGGGACCCATGTCGAGTAAACCTTCCGATAGCCGAGGTCGTTCAGATGGTTGCCGGTGGCCATATGGGTGACTCCAAGTGTAGTCGCCGATTCGCGAGTGGTGGCGTTCGGCTTCGCGTTGAGGGCGTTCCGCAGGGCTTCGTCATCGACTGTAGATGGACGTCCTGAGCGTGGTCGATCTCCGAAGGTCGTNAACGGTAGGGAATGTTAGCTGTGATATATAACCAATAAAGTCTATCGCTTCAATGAGATGCTGATTTACATGAATTTTCGATGTTGAATTCTATTGGGTTATGAAGTTGAGCTCTGTTTCAATTAGTACCAAAGGCTTTTCTTTTAGGGGACTACCACCCCCTTTATCTCTTTGAACTTTTTTCTCTCTGCTTCTTTCTTCTTCACCTCCATGCAAATATTCTGCCATTTCTTCTTCACATCGGCAATGTCCCTTTTCGTTCCTCTTACACTGCTGACTTCATGCGCAACAGCGCTCCATGCTTCGTGTTTCTTCTTAGAGTTGATCGCTGCCGATAGCTTTCCGTAAAGGATTGCTTTCTTATCCAGCACGGATGTGGCGAGAGCATCCACTTCGTCTTCGCTGAAGCGAGGCTTCTTCTGTCCTTGAATCGTCTGAGACATCCCAGAGGATAGCAAGCAAAAAGATGCAAATGGGACTGCTAGATGGGCCAGCATATAATAAAGCCACCTTGTTTGTTGAACGGGCTGTGCCTCACTACCCTACTATAATCAAGGTTTTCGACCTTATAGCAGTCAGTTTGACGAGTCGCCTCGTTAAAAGTCATAAAATATCAGCTAGCTGACAGCCCCTTCCCTATCTCACTCCGGAAAAAAAAGAAAAGTAGAGCTGTCACAATCCAAGCCAGTCTTAACAATTACAATGAATGCGTGGCTGTGTTTACAGTAGAGTACATTATGAGCGGAAGGGGTAACTCTCTCCCGGGGACACCACATGACTCGTAACGGTTTTAAAAGTCGGAGCCGTGAAATTCGTTTTTCATCATATATGATTTGCTCTTTATAGCCACTATAGGACTTCGTTAATCAACGAGTAGTCACAATATGCAGCAAATACTGTTTCGGGAAGCCGGCATTTCATAGTTGCGATTCTTCGTTGGATTATTTTTTCCTATACAAGCGTGAGAGCTTCTGTTCCTTACAGAAGGAATCCCGCCGTTTTCACCCTCGGGAGTAACTCTCCTCGTGAGAGTGGCAATCAATTAGAGGACGGAGTTCCGATTGATACGTGGGTTTTGTATCTCGATAAATTTATTAGCGGAGATCTCATTCCGGTGAGGAAGATATCCTTCCCCTCGTGATGAAAGGAAACTCTGAGTGTAATGGACGGGACGTTTTAAACGTCCCTGCGGAATGGTCTGTATCGGATCCCCAAATCAGGGAGCGGGGAATGTGTAGCATGTCTCTCTCACAAGTTGTAATATTGGAATGGCATGGAGAAGGACCATCAAATGCCTTGAGTTCGGTGCTATATTGTTAGCACACTTGGCTGATAAGTATTGCTGGGAGGTCCCGGGTTCGATTTCGGCCCTCACCATTGTTTTCCTTCGTCCTATTAGGCCATCCGAACTCATCTTCTCCCCAACCCCGGGCTATTACGTTCTCGGGAAAAAAGTGCGACCCAGGGAGAGAGAGACGTACACCCGGTGGCTAGCAAAAAGTGCCACACATGCACAGATGGACTTCCTTCCCCTCTAAATTTGTGCCCCTAGGGCATGCAACTTTAAAATCCGATTCATCTTAACTCTGCATCCCAATAGCAATTTGTGTATCAAATTTCAGATTTCTAAATTCACTAGAACATTGTTAGAATAAGTATCAGCACTCCGTCAGTCATAGATCGATTGTATTGGCGTCAACGCCGACCATGGTGGTCGGCAAACATTGATTTTTATTTCATATTCAACGATTGAGGTTCCGATGAATATTTAAAGGAAGTTGATTGATGGATTTTCCGTATCTAATTTATGGTCCTTTGAAGTCACGCGAGGGACAACTGCACTCTCTTCCCATGCACGCATTTCTTACGGACCTGGTCCTCAATCTCTTTCCTTGTTTTCTTCTTTCTGTGATTTCAAGATTGATCCCACTCTTAATGCACGTTGCAGCGTTGGATGAGTTCCTAAATTATTTATTTAATTGTGTCCACACGGTCTTAGCAATAAAATATAATGTGTGACAATATCGGTGGGCGCATTTTTGTCTACCGTGCAAATCCAATAAAGATGACAGAAACTCAAGGTTTCACATATTTATTCCCTGCAGCATAAAAACATGACGAGAATAATAGTTGAAATAGAATACCCGCTGGCCATTTTAAGACTAATATGGCCACCTGGGCGTAAAATTCTTTTCCATCAAAGTTTTCTTGAAAAAAATCGATCACGAGGTCGGCCTCCTTCACCATTACCGCGTGCCGTTCGTCGTCGAGAATTGCCTCAATCTACCCAGCGTGTACGACGAGAGCATCCTCCGCTTCCGGGAGGCGTACCTCCCCAGATTCCGAGAGGCTAAGAAGAAACGTTTCCATCCGTGCCTGATCGAGAATTGAATGATGGGACGACGGACTGAGGAATGTGTCATGCTTTTTGAATTTCCATATTTCCTTACTCGCATGCTTGGACCGCTT